CCTGTATCTAAACTAGTCTCCTTATGGGGACATTAGAAGGGAAACCATCCCTCTAGAGATGGACATATTTAGATCTATACCTTATGTGGAAATGGATGTGCCTGTCCCTCTCTCCTGACTATGAAGCTGGGTAGTTAGTTGTTGAGTTCATGACACATATTTGGTTTGAAGCATCACAGTGTCTGGGGTTTGGTAAAGGATATTCACAGAAAAATGGAAAGAGAATGATTTAGTAATGTGACCATGACAGGCTTCCATACTGATTCATGTAAATAAGGCAATTCTGCACAGACTTCCATCATAATGAGCCATCACAGAATTTGTTTTTTTTCGGGTGCCAGAGCACTTGTTTGTCCATTTTAAAATGGCTCATTTGGAACAAAAACACCCTAAATACAATCATTTCCCACTAAGACTGCACATGTGAGGAGAGCTCAAGGGCTTTTCCTTTTTTCCTTGCACTAGTGGAAAGTTTTAGCCTATTGATGTCCTGCTCAGAGGAAGAGCTGACAGCCCGCAGGTTGAAGTGCAAGGGAGGATCTCCACTATGACTCAGTGCTGTCAGAGCAAAATCAGGCATTTTCATAGTAACATCAATGTGGATGCAGGTTGTGTTCCCTAATTTTTAGTAGGAAGTAGCTTTATTATAGTAATTAAACTCTATTGATTTGGAAACCATGTTAAAAGATGTACATAGCTACACATTGCTAAGAAATGTTTACTATCATTCTGCTTTGAAGCTGTGTGCTAGAGGAGCTTCTGCTAACTACACAAGGTCTGTTTCAAGTGTGCTGTATTGGCAGGTAAGAGAACTGAGTGCCTTCTGGAGTCACAGCAGTGTTTCAAAACCTGTTTACGTTACATATTTAGTTGCTGTGTATGATCCTAGTTTGCCTCATTGGTCAAACCTGTAACTCTCAGCTGAGTAAAACCCAATCCTCTCAGCAGACTCTCTAGTCAAGCCTTCAACGGGGAGGCTTTTTATGTAGTAGAATAGGAGACTTCTTCAAACATCTTGGTCTTGGCCAAGTTACACATAAAAATCACGCTGCAAATTCATGTAAGTGAACGAACTTCTGGACTTAGGTTCTGAGCCAAAATCCCAAAATGCTGTACTTTATAATGTAATAGAATTTAATTAGAGTGTTCATATAGTCTATGACAGCATGTCAGGAATTGCCCCTGAAGATCCTGCTTATGCTTTTGAAGAACCTGTGCAAGCTTGAACAGTAAATTTCCATCCCTCCATTTCAGTTCAACTTCACCTGCTACATCTCTTCCCCAAAAAGGCCAACCACGATTCCCCATTGTTCCACAGCCTGGGTTCTTTGCATATAAATGTGAACCTTTATTTATCTTGAGGGCATCACCAATATTCAGACTTTCCATAACTGTCCAAGGTGGAAAAATGAAACAAAACTTCAGTACTCACCATTGTGCAACACTGATGGGCTGAAAACAGAATGTTACTATCCATGCTTTCCTTAATTAGCAGAACATCTGATATTAGAAAAGGTAATTAGAATCTTTGCTTAATCACACCTTATCAATATAGGTTAAAATTACTCTATTAACTCTTCTATTTGGAGTAGATTTGAGCTCAAAGACTGTCGTGGTTTTGCTCTGGGTCAATTTTGCTTTCCACCCCCCACACAATTACTACTAGTTCTCTCTTCCATAAACGTCTGTTTTCTCTCTGTCCTAAACCCCTTTTGTCATATTTGTAAATAATGATCATTTTATTTTTGATGATTATTCAATTTTTGATCTCTTGATATAAATGTCATTAAAGATGAGTTCAATTTCAGCTATATATACACAGAAATACTTCTTCCTTTTTTATATTAGTCCAAGGAGAAGAAGTAGTTTTATTCTGTATCTTTGGAGTTTTAGTTTTCTCCTTCTAGTAGCAGATCTTCAGCAGCAGCACACTTTCATTGCAGTTGGAACTTCTTCTCTCTCCCTCTCGTTCTGTGTTGGCTTTCAGGGCTGGGCTTACCCCCCCCTCCTGGGCTAAGACTGAAGGATGGAGATTACTCAGGTCCCGAAGGGTTTTTTCTTCCATAGGCTTGCAAGGGGACACTTGCTTACTATGGATCTTCTTCCACAGAGTTACAGGGGATAATGGTTTAAGAGTCCACCCCTGTTTCCCTATGGAGGTCCCTCCCCATGGGAGAACAGTCTTTGATAGACTTCTCGACATGGATTTAGCACGAATCCACACACACACGGATTCCAGCATCTCACATGGGCCGTCTCGCTCCAGCATGAGATTTTTAGAGTCACAAAATCTTCAATAGTAGTATAGATCCACACACGCACGGATCCAGTATCTCACCTGAGTCATCACTGCTTCAGCACAGGTTTCCCTCAGGGTCACAAATCTCCACCAGGACTCTGCCTCACTTCAGTCCTCTTTATGAAGTTTCAGTTCTCTTTGGTACATCCACAGATTCTTTTATTAGCTGCAAGGGGGGTCTCCTTACTCCAGCAAATTTTTACAAGTAGCAGGGTTTACTTTTCAGTCTTTTCCCTGCTAAGGAGAGAGAGCAGAAAGGCAGGGGGGAAACAAGCCTCCCCCCTTTCGCACTTTACTTTTCTTTGCTGCAGTTTCGGCTGCCAGCTCCAACCTTGGAAGCTCCGTTATCTTTCAGCTGGAATTCTTCCACAGCGGTTTCTGTCCAAGCAGTCCGTCTTTTAAACTTTTTTTTCTCTTCACTCTCTTACAAGAGAGAAGGGAGGACTTCAGTGCTGCACCTGCTCCCCCCCTGGCCCAAGCCGGGGGAGGAGGGAGTCTGGCCCTGCTTCGGGCCTGCTACTCCTCTCCCCTACATGGCTGCTACTCTAATTCCAACTGCGCCAACAACCTTCTCTTCCGTTTTCTTGAAGATGTAATTAGCAAAGGCATTTCTGGACTTTTGATTGGTCTTTTTGTCCGGAAATTACCTGGACAAAACCATCATCAGCCCCAGGGATGGGCTGAGGGGGCAAAACCACAACAAAGACACACTTTATGAAAACAGAGTTTCAGAGAAATAAATGTGTTTTGTTTTCCTTGGCCCTGTTTCTCCAAGATTCAGCTTTGGGAAGTTGCCTCAGTTTCTCCAGACCATTTCTGAATATTGAGCACACAAGTTACTCAATATACAACTCAGACCCATGGATTTCTTTTTGGCTGTCACCAAGTTGTAATCTGATGAATTTTATGACTGTGTACTATAATTTTATGTGTGTTTAATATGATCGTGCTTATGTGTGCATGCATGGATGTAGATAAATATACAAATAAAATAGTAGTGCCCACACCAAGTGAATCCAGAATACCTTTGAATTAAGCACTACAGAATTGCGATACCTAAACTAGACACTTCCAGTACATAGTCTGTATTTGTACTGAAGATTAAAACTTCTGATTGGAGCCTATGGCTGTATCAGTAATACACATGTTGCAACAAACTAATTCTATTAATATTTTCTTGGCTGTGAGAACACATTAGAAGTGTCACTTCAAAAAGTCCTCATCAATTAACAGCAAAACTCCCTTCAGAGCAAAAGTCTGTTGACGATACAGTTTCCCTCTAGGTGTGGATATAGAGCTGTTATGAAAATAATTTTTACACTAGCTTTGGGGATGAGACACAGAACAATTTTATATTTCTGTGTTGCCAGAAATCACATTTAAAATTTTGCTTCTTGGATGTGGTGCTGG